GAATCGGTTCAGATTGTTCAGTAACTGTGATGCACAGGAAGCTTGAAAACCCTGGCAGGAGGAGTGCAACTATTTGAAGAAGTGAAAGAAATTCCATTTTTGAAGGAAAGCTCCTTTTCATATTTCTTTTTCAAGAGAGAAAAGAGTTACTCTGGAAAAGTACATTCTGTCTTGAAGGAGATCCCTTAAATTGGGGAATATTATTAGGCTTTTCATACCTATAGAAATATTATTAACCTTAATTACACCAACTTAAGTACAAAATACTAAGTTCCTGCTATGGGGAAAATAAATAATAGATTATTCTATGTTTGTGCCCTGGAAAATGTAGTGATAGAAATGTCAAGATAAGCAATCCAACACCAAGTGTCTCCTGTCAATATCCCACCTAGTTCTACAGACCTTTTTAAGGATACTGTTCTGAAGTTTCTTCATGAGACTTCAGGATCTTCTGAGATAACAAAACCAACCAAAGTTCTTACGTATGATTTAAATTTTTTGTTACTCATTGCTGACATCCATATTTATTGTAGTTTGTGATGGTTCTGACAGGAAACTTATGGAAGTGCTATTTGAACTTGCTGAGGATACATCAGGATTTTTATCAGGCCCAAAGAGAACTAAAACCTTTCTGTATACACTAAGATTTCTCTCCAAGTACTGCTCCAGATGTCCATATATTATCTACACATATATGTGCATATTGTATGTACACACATGTGTATGTATGTTAAATTTTAAATGAAGTTTTATAATTGGATTAAGTTTAATACCTTTTTTTGTGGGTGGCTGCTTTCTCATATAAGATATGCTTACCATTTGAAATAAAATAATTTCTTTTGCTGTTTAAGTTAACCAGTTTCTTTTGTTAGGTTGCTAATGACATGTAATCACTGTACTATCTGAAAGAAAAACAGTAGAGGGAGTAAATTTTGACATATATAATTTATATATTGATTGTTCAAGGTGTCACAGAGTGGATATGAATGAATTCAGACTACTTATATCAGAGAAGATACACATAGATACCCAGTTAAAATATCTGACTGCAGTTCTGGGTCCTTTGATGATTTACTCTAAAATATCCCAGTGTAATTAAAATTATTGAAGCAAAAAAACACAGATAAATTCAACATAAGTACAAAAGCAGCTGCTGTTCTGTGGTTAATCTAGACTTAGACTAGCCCTCAAATTCCTTCACAGCTTATCCTGAAAGGAACAAAGCATTTCATCTTTTAGAGGCAGCAACTAAGACTGTGATGCTATCTTTCGAGCAGTACAGCTTTGAACTGTGACATTTATTCTGACTTCCACATTCATTCCTATTCCTAGCTTCATGCTGAAAGAGGACTTCATTCATATTTGCAGATATTCTTTTGTCACTGTTATTCAACCTTTACCTTGAGCCTTTCTTTTCCCCCATAGAAAAGTGGTTTTATGAAATTTGGTCCATTGAATTTCATGATCACTTCTGAAAGCAAAGAGCACTTCATGATAGCTTTATCTCTGCAACAAAGAGTATGTGTTAACAGAAGGGATCTGACCAAAGCAGATTCAAATATTTAAAAAATTGTCACTGGTTGAGTGATACTATCTATATGAAGTCATTTGAAGACGGAAAGGGGAACATTTGAGGTGAGATTCTAACCATCTAAACTCAAAGCCTTTATAATGATTTTAATGGAGCCTGGATTCTGCCCCTTCCTTTAGCTTATTTTTCTTCACTGAAAAGATTACTAACTGATAAATAAAAATGTGAGTAACAGTTCCTTTCCTTTCTTCCAACAAAGTAAGTGAGCAGAGAGTAGCAGCTAGGGGAACAGAACAGAAATAGGTGATAGGACAGAACAATCAGGTGCCTGCAACCACAGTCCCCTTGATAAACGGGGATGATTTGAGCTGTGAAGAGTTCCAAAAGAGGAACACTGTGTTGTATGTGTGCAAGGCGACTGCAGAGCTAGTCTTTGAATCCCAGTGCAGAAGAGAAAAGAGCCAAAGCAGGAGCAGAGAGCTGGAAAGACAATGTGGAGGATCTTAGAGTGGTGTAGCATTTGAGGGCAATTGCTGAGTTCCTACTGAGCTGTGCATGGCTGAATAGTGCAGAGTCTAACACCTGCATCAAAGTCTCTCTTTTGCTCTAAGTAATTAAAAGGTGTCAAGCTAATAAGGAAAAAAAAATTAACCTGTACTTAATGAAATTATTGAAACAATTCCAAAACACAGAGAACATCTAAGATTAGAATGAAAACTAAGAAGAATTGTTTTAATTTTGTTAATTAGTTTTCATTTTCTGAGCCATCCACTTACCACATTAAACAGAACACTACTTTTACAGCCCCTATTTATCCCACTTTTGAATCTTTCAGGAAGTTTCCATGGCAACATCACACCAGTCCATCAAAACAATTGGCAGTAACTTTGCATGTCACCTGACTGCACCTCACAACCATCAGCCTATTGGTGGGAGATGCTGAGCCTGTTACTGGTCTGTCTATTGTTTTGCAGCCTTTTGTTCAGTTTGGGGTTTCTGCATTCTTCTACTTGGTGCAAGAAAATTATTGAAGAGTAAAAATTTTGTTCTAAAAAGACCTACTTTCAATATAGGATTTCTTGAATTTACTAATTCCAGTAGGGTCTAGCTAAAGATGGATGGAAAGTAATATTATGTTTCCATTAAGGATTCTTGTTGCAGGAGCAAGAGGGGAAACAAATTCCAAGCACAGGAGTCTGTGACACTTTTCCTTTTCTTTACAGCTCAGTGATCCACACCAGCTCTTTAGCTAGCACAGGTAAGTCTGTCTTTCCCAGTTTCTCTGCATTGGCTGACACGGTGATCCTCCTGTTCCTTTCTCTTCCATGCCTTCTCCAGCCATCCTTATAAGAGTAGGAACAACAATCTAGTTAGGTGCCTCTCACACCAAAAACCTCTGCATGGTCAGAGGAGGGAGCAGACAATGCAAGACGTTGAGTACTCAGCATAGCTCCCAGCTGGGACATAAGTTACTATCTCCATGTCAACAGCAGAATTTCTTCTGTAGTAACTATAATTTTGGTCATCTGTATTAAAGTCCATCTTAAAAAATGACAAGAAACTACAATGGTCCTTTTTTTATATAAAAGGATAAATAGAGCATTTTATTAACACTTTTTGCAGCAACAGAAGTGACACAGTCCACATCTTTTTCATTAAACACAGCAAAAGCTATGGTCACACTTTACATCACTTTGAGGCACAAAGCAAAATACTTTTTTCTTAAGGTCAAGGTATGATTTTCTTTTTTTGGAAAAAAAAAAAAAAGGAGAAGAAACAATCCTCAAGTTGTATATTGCGGCAGCAGGGTTTCCAATCACTAGCACAATACAATGAACAGACCAAGAATCCAGAATGGATTATTACATAAAATAATAATCATTTGCTTGAATTAAGAAATGGATCATTGTTGTCATTTTAGAGTATTAAGAAGTGGTCTGGCGTCACTAACTTCAGTTGGTTCAGTTTGGCTTAGTCCCAACAACCCCAAATATATACAACAAGCTAAATGAAGGTTAATATATATTCTAGAAGATTATGCACTTCATAATGCATTGCACTTATTGCTTGGTACACTAAGGTTGCAGTCACTGTTGAGTTATGCTAAAAAGACAAGCGTGATGCTTGTTGGCTTCATTCAACCCAACACTAGTTATTTACCACTTTGGTTTATTGTGAGTTCATACGTTATTCATGTTCAGTGTCCATTATTATCAGGTTTAATTGAAAGACAAACACATTTTTTTATTTCAGGGATTCCTAAAATAGCAACATTTTCTATAATTACAGTATCTTCAATAAACTTATATCTATGTATACAACTGTGGCACAATGTGTAAAAATATGAAAGCTATTAAGGGAAGAATAAGGGTTAAATTATTCTCTGTTTCTTCTATTGGCTTCAAAATATTCTGCAAAACAAATACATCCTTTTTCATAGGGCTACTTGCTTGTAGTAAATTTTTCTTTGGAATTTTGTAAAAGACTATATCTTTTTCTATGTTATATTGTTTTTTTCTTTCTCTAAAGACACTGGTACAAAGGTGGAATATACTGTAAAGAATAGAATAATAAAGCTGGGATTTGATAAAGGGATTTGACAGTCTGCATGAAAAGTCAGACGTAACATTATATATCATTTTTATATTAGTTGATGAACGTAGGGAAGAACATGACAATGCCTATAATTTCATAAGATTCTGTAAAGAATACGAAAAAGAATTTGTGCCCAAACATTCAGTATAAAACTCCTAAATAATTCCTTTATTCATCACAGAGCAGCCTGCAGCATGTAATCACGATAAACATACACTATGCCCTATTTGTTCTGTAGGCTTGATACAATTCCCATTAAAAGAACTGGACCAGTCCTCTCTAACTGCCTAGGACTCGACCTTCCTTCTCTAGGAAAGCTCTTGTCCTCGACTCACAATTCCTACATTGCACTGAGTAAACGTGTGTATTTAACACAATCTCTTTCAATACAGTGTAACAAATATATAAGTGCATTTTTAATGATCAAGTAATTTTGGCTTTCTAAAAAGAGCCTTAGATGTGCCAGCTTGGTTGCTTAGTTGTGCTTTAGTCCTTAGTTATGAGTTTTAGCTCTTGTATACTGTAAGTACCTAATTGCCTCTATAGTTTTGACCAGTAAACCCTTAAAACTCTAATGTTTATAGAACAAAGATAACCTAATGAAAGTGATGACATGTCACAACTCATACAGATTGCACTTTGATTTTTTTTTTTACAGTAAGACCTTCCTGTTTGATATGTGTTTACATGTTTATACCACATTTTATTTCTGTGTGCAAACAATCACAATGAATTTAATCACAAACACTACAAAATATACCAAATATTTAGGTTTGTTATGAATAATCTCCTTCCTTGTAGTTGTATGAGTCTTGTACTTCCTCTTGTACAAATTCCTCTTTTTTCTCCCAACCATTAGGCCAGCCACCGTTGACCTGGGTTGTAGCACCATAAGACTTGGTGGTACCATAATTTACATAATTCTGCGTAACGTCCCCTGTCTCTTCAGCAAGTTCATCTTCATGAATAAAGCCACATTTCTCTTCACTCGTCTGTTCAGGGTCTGCCCAGGGTTGCTTCTCTCCTGAAGCAAATATGCCATAGAAGATAACACCTCCATAATGAACCAAAGCAGCAATGAGGAAGACATACTGCCACTCTTCACGTGTCTGTAAAGAAGAAATTTGCTAAATCAGACCAATGCATAGAATTATCTAACTCTTCTGAGTTGAAAGATTTAAATTAGGGATTGAGGCTGTGATAAAACAATTTTAAACAGATAAAACAATTAAGTGTCCAGTTTCTGATTGTTTATATCCATCTTTCTTTGAAAAATCACCATTCATTAACCCACAAAAGCACTGAGCTGGTGAGCATATAGTGAGGCATGCTTCATATTTGCAAGTTCCTGGATGCTGTGCCCTGGAAGTCACAGACTCTAATACAGATATCCTAGCAAGCTGCACTATGGAAAGGTCTTTTTCTTGAAACTAATAGTATTAAACTGGAAGATTTGAAAACTGCACCACTGATTACCTTATTCTTTGTCATTGCTCCAACAATTATAGGGCAAACCATCCCAGACAAGGTCCCGACTCCATTAGAAATCCCCATTAAGATGCTGGCATACCTTGGGGCAATGTCTAAATGGTTGACATTGAATCCTGCAATACAAAGGTCAGCAAACGTTCATACCAAAAGCAGAGCAATACTTCAGTTCTGAAAAGTAACGCTACCACCTGACAATTCTATGATGACATATTTGGGCTGGTTCCTTGCATTTCTTTTTCTCTGAAAGACTTCAGTGGTTAAATAGTCCTAGAGAACTCTGGGTTTTCATTTTAATTTAAAAATACTTTATAAAAGGATATCAAATGCATTTTCTTCCACAAACGGCATCTTAAAAAAAAACCAAACAAACAAACAAACAAAAAAAAAAAAAAAAACCAAAAAACCAGTAATGACTGTGTGGATTAGACAACCCAGAAAACAGGGAGAAAGTTCAGATTTCGCAGTGTCATTCAGGACCATGTCATGCTGTAAATAACATGTCATTTCTTGATCCAGCTTGTACCACTCTCCTTCTTCCTACTGCCCACATTTCTCTTTTTGTCACACATCACAGCAGGAGGGAGTTCCGTTCTGTTCTTGAGTAGTAAAATGAAGGGTATAGAAAGGCGGTATCTAGAAATTCTTTATATAGTTATTTATTAATAATTTTTATAAATATTTGTTCTCTCTCATTTTCAGCAGCTTAATTCTGTTGAAATTTATGCAGTAACTACTTAAATAATCTTAGAAAAAAACCACAGGCTTCTCTGAAGTGACAGAACTCATTGTCCCCAAAATAACCATTTAGGTAAGTGACAACAGAAATCAAATGTTTGTATCCAGAAAGATAATAAAAGGGAAAAGACAGGCAGTAGAATGTGGATAATCATTAAAATGCAATACGCTGGTCAAGTTACGCAAACCTGGGATGGTACCTCACAGAATACATGGGATTAAGGGCAGGTTTGATTAAGGAAAGTTTTGATGTTTGGCACAAAAGAAAAGAGCCTGGCTTAGACATAAGGCACCAGCATGCGAGAGGATACAAAGATCACAGTGGGAAAACAAAGGAAGGTCAGGTGACTTGTGTCTCAGAAAGGCAAAGGGGTGCTCAAATAGGAAGAGAGAAAAACTGAATTTTAAATCAGAAAAAAAATTACTAGTTATTAGGCCCAAAGCAATAAAAAAGGCAACACTAACAAAGCATTAACTAATATACAGCAGAAAAGGTTATTAAAAGGTTTATATTTAAACCAATGTGTAAATTTAGGTATCATTGAATAGTATCAGTCCATTTGTGTTAGATTTTAAGAAAAATCTATGGTGTACATTAGCACCTCACTGAAAAGAAAGTTTAATTCACTGCAATAAATATGGAAAAAAATAGATTTTTCAAACAAAATCTAATGTAAAAGATGTGGTACTAATTGCACTTTCCTTTGTAATGATCATAAATAATGTCATTTGGAATTCCGAGGTCTGCTTAAATTGCTACCAATGAATAAAACCCAAATGAGATGTTCTATCTCTTAAGGTAATAACAGTAATATAATCTTACCAGATATGGCAAATCCACTGAAGCCTACAGCAAGCACTAAGAATGAAATAGCCACTCCTTTACTGTGAGAATACCCCACCACGAGAAGAAGAGTTGCTTCCATACCAAATCCTGGGGAAATCATAAAGAAAACCAGGCATCAGATTTAATTCCTTCTCAAATACTGCAGGCCTTAGGTTGTGGTAATAATTCATGGCAGACTGGGGCAAAACATTCCCCCAGAGTGGAATATAATCTGGTATTTCTTTCATCCCTAAAAAAGCCAGTGTTCTTGCTGTCTCAAAAAATCCCTACTTTATTCTTTCTATGCTAGTTTCTTGTTACTTCCCATCAATTTTAAGATGAAAACAAATACCTGTGATTTGTTTAGGTCATTGCAGTCAGCCCTAATGGGAATATACACTGAACCTGCTTATGAATTTTGCAGTCCTTATCACAGCCAAGAGTCAGCTCATGTGACTTTAACCTCTCAGCAGTCAGATATGTAATCTCAGATAGTTGTCTGGACTATTTTAGTGCAGAGGGTGTGCAAAAAAATGCACCAAGTATTGCTTCTGAAGTACATAAAACCATGTGGCTAGTTTGTTTTCTGTATACAGCGTATACTACCTGGACACTGAGTCTGTACAAGAAGCTTTTTAAAACAAGAAGACTCACCTCCACAGTTCATTATCTTTCTCACAGTAGTGGTTGAAAGAATCTGCTTGCTTCTTAAGAAGTCTGCAATTTGTCCCCCAATAGGAACGATAATTGTCATCACTAAATGCGGCACAGCAGATAAGATACCCACCTAAAATAATCATTAGAATTAGCAGAGCATAAACTGTAAGAATATATTGGGTCATCATTTTCTGAAGCATTCAGCAACTAATTAATTGTTTCTCTTCAATTTCAGGCTATGTGCTAAAACTAAAAATATTAGTTTATTAGATGAACAAAACTGATGATCTTAAGCTGTCATTGTTTTTTATGAAGGACAGTCAGAGACTTTAAGAACATCTGATGCTTTGACACTTTTTGTTTATAGATTGTTTTCACAGTTCATATTTAAGCTTTTTTTTTTTTTTTTTTCCAATCACAAACCCGCTGCCCTTTCTTTTAAAAAAATTTATGATGAAATGTGTTTCACTGAATTGCTGCGTTTCTGTTGAGGTGGTGTTTGGTGTAGCATTGCCTGGGAGACCTAACACATCCAGACAGATTCTCTGTGGATCATCTTCACGTACACAATGGCCATTTGCCTTTGACTTCTGACCATCCCTCAAGCCTCAAACTTCACATGATCAAGAGAGATGTCTGAGAAACTCTGTACGTAGTGAAAGATAAAATACTACATATCCACTGACAACTTTCAAAATGCTGAATATACACATAATTATAATGCACATAGTAATGAATATACATATGATATTCACATCCTGGCAAGGTAAAACAGAGTAGTTTTGTGCTGACTGTTCCAAGATACAGTATTGTATTTGAAGGCCATTTTCTCAAAGCAGGATAGGGTATCAGTGAGTGTGGCGCAAAGTGCCACCTGCTATCTCCTGCCAGCATAACTGTCTTGCAGATGGCTTGGTTTTCTGCACATGGCATTTTGTTCTAAAAGGGGATTCTGATTGTTGTGTATATCTGGAAAAGTGCTTAAGCAGAGGGGTTTTTGATTGATTCCTGTCTCAACAGTGTATCAGCTGGTCTAATACCTGAGTTACATTAATGTGCAGAGCAGCCAGACTCCATGAGAGCAAAAAGAAAACAAGTTTTCTCTGCTTTTCACTTAAAGGTGTGAAATTGTGCATTTTACTGCAGTTTATATATGTGGCAGCTATGCTGTGGCAGCAAACTTCACATTAAGAGGTGTTTCTCCCAATAAGCCAGACATTAACGATGAGGTAACTAGGGCATTGCAGTTAGTGCTTTGAGGCACTCCTGACTAAATGATAACTGCTCCTTTATGAGCATCCACATCCAGAGCAGGTGAGAATGGACTTTGCTCTCATTGTTTACAAAGCTCTGCATTTCTCTGAGAACATTCTAAGAAAATTCTTCTAGAACACAGGGATAATTCTATAGTATGTGACCACTCTTACTCCATGCATAACAGATGGTGTTTCAAGCATAGCAAAGCTGCCTAAAATAACTCCAGCTGAAGATGGAAGCCCATCTTTAAATGCAGGATGGCCTTACATAATGTTGACAATACTGCATAATATAGCAACACTTTGGAAGCTACTCATCTGGTTGTCACACCACAACTTAGGGTGATGATTCCTCATGGAACAATATCAAGAGAATACAGATCTCTCAAAAGCACAAACCCCCATCACTTTCACAAGAAGGCAATCTGTATTAATAGAAAGCTTACTATACACTCTAAAGGCTTGTTTGCATGTGTTTGTATCTATAAATTCATATGAACTACGTGGGCCCTTCAATCATCCCCATATCTCATATTCTGCCACCATCTCTTTCACTTCCGAAGTGAAAAAGGAGGAGCAGTTCTCACCACATCAAAGGGTGATGCTGAAAGGTGATAAATTGTACTATCCTTCTTAAAACTAGGTGGTCCTGCTTTGTAAAATGCACCTGGAGAAATGGAACCACTTGTCAGTGCTTTCTTTACAGCTCAGGTAGGATCCTGCATCCCCTGGGGAATCAGGGACTGAAGTGTAACGAGTCTCTCCGTACCTTTCTAACATCACTTGTAATCTGTTTTCAATCTTCTGGCCATATGGCCCCAAGCAGATCATCACAAACTCTCATCTCACCTTCATCTTCTCCTATCCAGCCCTTTGTCATTGCTGTTACTTCACTTCTATGTGTTGGTCAAGGGAACAGTAAGATTTAAGACTTGTAAACCCATGATAAAGACCTCCTTGATATAAATACCACAAATGTGCCTTTGATATTTACTTAGCTGAGATGAAAGCTTTATGTTATTTTTACATACCTTGCTTATTTCAAATCCAAACACTTCCTCAAAGTAAGCAGGCTGACTAATAAGCAGCAAGTAAAAAGTCCAGCTTCTACAGAAGTTTGCAACAATTATTGCATAGACTGGCATAGATGTAAAAAATTTTCTCCATGGAGTTTTGTATTTCTGAAACACAGAAAGGGAGATCCAGTCACTGTTTGGATCACTGTCAACTATCTTCCCTTTTCCTGTCTGTTATTTTTACCTTTACTCCAACAAGCTCCTAAGTGCACACCTTCATGTATCTGAATTCCAACAACTTCAATCATTATGTAGCACTTGCGTCCACATCTGGATGCTCAAGATTTAATTTAAAAACATAAACAACCCAAAATTACTACCAAATGCACAAGTGGAGAAATTCGATGATACTTAATACTGAGTATCACCACACTCATGCATAAGTGCCATTGTCTCAGTTGTGTAACCATGAACACACCAAGTCCAGAAGAATTATATGTCTTTATAAGACAGTGTTGCTGTATCTAAGGCAACAGTCACATTTTACACTGTAAGTACACAGTTTCATCCAGATTTCTTTTAAAGATGTATTTTAGCATTTAAATCTTAATTCCAACATTCAGAATAATATTTTTATCAAGCCTCAGCTGAAACTGCTTCGTCAACATATTTTTTGTTTGTTTTATTGTATTTTTAAAATTAATTGCATAGTAAAAAGGAAAAAAAAAAATAAAAGGCAGATGGACAGAACTACAGTCCTGCTGAGTCCTAGCACCAATCCATGAGCCCAGGGTTCTGCCCATCTGTGTTCATCCAAATACAGGATCCAGACCCAGAGGAGTGTTTGTTTCAGCAAAGTTTCAGGCTGAATTTATTCTACTGATGATTTCAGTATTGGCTTCTCTTCAAAGGAAAAGAGCCCATAGATGGATATATGCAAAACTTGGTATACCTATGAAATTAGACTTAAGTGAGAGATAAGGATTAAATGTGACTTAATTAATAAGACTCCAGCTAGAAAACCTAATTTAATACTATGGGGAGTATTTCAGTCTCAATATTTTAGAAGCAACTGGAACTATTGCTACAAACTAACCACTTCCAGTAAATGTTTAATTAAAAAGCAACAACAAAAAATAGACATACATTATCCATCCCAAGTTAGAATTATAGGGACATCCTTTGGAATATCCCATTTCATGTCAGATATTTCAAAGCATTTAGGCATAAGAAACCATGAGCACTGCTGAATGTTAGTATCAACACAGACACTCCCTCAAGTACACTACAGAATGCCAGCTATCAAATAAATGATTATGAAATATTTCCAGTTCCCTATTTAATCTGGATCAAAGTTTACTAACAGAAAAAAATAACTATTCCTGAGTTCAATCAAGAACCAATTTTCTGACCAATCCAAAAACAGAATCAAGGGTGGTGGTGAGGGTCTACTGGGAATGGATAGCATCAAAATTTGAGGTGAACTGATGCTTAAGAACTAAAGTTTTTCACTTTCTAGAGTTAGTAAGCATGGTGCTAGTTTTTGTAAATCTTTCCAATAGCTGGAGAAATAAGAAAATTATACTAGGCAGCTGGAAAATCCTCTGAGTTCAGAGCTGGTTTTGTAAGAGTTCCTGAGAACTAATCCAGTACAGAACTAGTCAGATTGTGAGAGGCTTGCTAGCATGTTTCCAGCAAAGTTACCACGATGATGGGGAACGTTCTTATGGTTTCCTAGCATGCTCTATTGCAACGTGCAGTCTTTCTTGCAGAGGAAACACAGAATAATCAGGATTTGTTTTTTCTTATGAGAATCTCAAGAGACTGAGTGGTTCTTTTCCTCCAGTTTACTTCCAGTAAGAGGAAAACCTTCCAAAAAGGATTCTATAGAAAGGAAATGAACCACTTGAACTGAAGATAGTGAAAGAGTCTCAATAAAGCTGCAATTTCAGATGTAACTAGCTTTTTTTTCACTTTGGAAGTATAAATTCCATGAGTGACCTGCTAGAATTGGAATCTGGATTATTCTCATGCAGAAGCAATATCCACCCACAAATGCTTCAGAAGAATTCAGATCTCCCAATACCAACCCCAAAGTCAGTTAATTGCAACATGTTTTTCTGTCTGAACGAAAAAGGATGTTTGGTGTTTTTTTTGTTGTTGTTGTGGTGGTTTCTATTGGGGGGGTGGGGTTTTCCTTTTTACTACTGTCTCAGGGGAAACAAGTATGTGAGTAATATCCTTACCTCCATTGCACCTAGGAGGTTGGCACTCTCTCCAATGCTTTCTTCTATGTATCTTCTTTCTTCATCTGTGATAGTAGGATGCTTTGCAGGACTCTCATATGAAACCAAAAGCCAGAACATGTACCAGACTATACCAAAGCTCCCTTTGGAATGGAAAGAAAGACTTTAAAAAGAAATACACAGTAAAGCAGCATTTAAGGAACAAAATCTGTTAATAATTATAACAAATGTAAATGGCAATTGTTGCTACTGCTCTTCTACTGAGCCATTCTAACAGTTGGATCCTGTAAATGATACTTATGCAAAATGCATGAAGGGCTGGATCACAGTGAAGTCTTCTTTGCTTCACTTACAGAATGATTTCACTGTAAGTGAATATTCACTGATATTTTAACATCAATTTGTACAATGCAATGCAATGAAACAGCTTCCACTTCATTTCACCAGCCTGTAAATGAAGCTCCATTCTGCTTTAAGCCACCGCTGTTTGATTACTGTAGTAAAATTTTTATCTGTAAAGTAGCAGTTTGTGGCATAGTTTTCAACATAGCAATGTGCTTCCTGGGTAATTTATTAAATTTCCATAAGTTTTCCCCCTAATTCACATCAATTTTGCACTGCAGAATGAACTCCTTTGGAACATGGGTTTAAGTTAAGGCAGCACAACTAGTGTGAGTGAAGTTATGTAGGTCTTCAGATAAAAATCAAGACACTGCAGTCAGGGCAGGGCTGTAGACTTACAGCTGCATAAATGACAGAGTGATGTTCCATGAGCTGAGATCTGTGGATCTGCATAGCAGGTTGCACCGCTTCTGCTAGAAGTGATGAAGGATTGACTGTGCACTAGCTTCTCCTTTATAATGCTTTCCTACTCTCTCCTTTCAATTCTGTTGGCCTTTTCTCTAGGCTGTATTTTTAGCTTTATGGACCCACTTTTCATTTCAAGGGTTTTTTTTGGGTCTCTTAATTGTAGCTTTTAGATTTTTAGGAAGGTTAGAGGAAGGTCCTACAATACTGGAGTGAGAAGAGCAAAGCCACGTACCATACACATAGAACACAGAAGACCACCCCGTATACTGCACTAGAATTCCAGCTAAAGGCATTGCAATAACAGCTCCTGCATAGGAACCTACAAAACAAGACGTGTGGATGAAAAGAGAGAAAACGTCAGTCTCAAAATACTTTTACATTGTAAATGAAAGGAAGAGAGAAATTGAGAGTTACTCACCACAAAAGGAAGTGGTTGCTAACCTACTTCTTTCTAACGGGGGGGCCCACTTGCTCCAAATACCGTGGCAGGCAGGGTAGGTGACCCCCTGGGGAAGGGGTGTGCCACAGGTTAGTTAATGCAGTTCATTGTCTTTGCATATTTTTATACTTTCAATTGCTACAGACACAGAGTTGAGAATGCTTCACGTTTTTATAGCAAAGTCTGAGCACAGCCATAGAAAACCTTCAATTTTTATTAAAGTCGAAATGCATTTTGTGTATGACTCCAAATCATTAAAGAGGCTTTTTGAAACAGATATAAAATATAATTATTTCCTTTTGCCACCTCCCCAACCCTTCCAGGAAAAAATTGTGAATAATTAAAAAGAAAGAATCATAATACACAAGTGCCAGAGTCAAAGGCATGATGAAAACACAGAACCTCTGCACTCTCTAATGCTGGGCTGATTTCTCCAGCCCTCAGTTTTGGTGGCCTTCTAACTTTTTTCAATCTAACATTTAAAGTACAATTTAGGTAATATCAAGTACTGTTCCATGGCTTTCAAAGTAGAAAATAAGATTTAAGCTTAAAAATATAGCCTTAAGAGAAAGGTTTTTCACTTTGTCTTTAATGACTCTTCTTAAGCACTTAAAGCAAATAACTGAGTGATGTTGGTTGGTTTGCTTTTAAGCCAGTTACTTTTTAGGTCTTTCTTCAAAACTAACCTTTAACTTAATAATGGAGAGTCTAAAATAAAAATCATTACAACCTTCAGTGTTGAAATTTTAGGAAATATAAAATGAAATCTGCAACAATTTTCCACAAAATTCCTTCTTTATAACTATTATAATGTATGTATAGTTATATGAAGTCACTGTTCCCTTAATCTGATTGTTTGTGTCCTATGCAAAAACTATAAAAAGTCCATAAGTTTTTACAAATGTTGAGGTTATCATAAATGTTAATATTATCAGTCTGAATGTAAAAAACATTGTGAAATATACTGTTCTGTTTTGAAAGAAGATTCTATAACCAATTTGATATTCATTTCAGTCTTTCTGGCAATTTTTCAAAAATATAAAAAGACATAATCCTAAAATTGTCATGATCTGTTGGAAATCTTCTTTAAATGGTCCTGTTTGAGATGTTTTGCTGCCACAATTCTTTTGAACAGTATCACAGAAATGATTGGGTCTAAAATACCTATTTTATATTGTAATTACCCACTTGCTTCTGTTCCTCTGCTCTTTGCCGTCAAGCACACCTCTGTATGTGCAAATCACTTCTCAGGAATGGATTCACACTTACACATGTATGCTCTACAATCTTTAGTCCCAATAACCTCACTTTCAGGCACATTCTGCACCCTCTTTGGAATCTTTTTATACAATAAAATGCACCAGTTAAAATCAGCTCACGCAACAAAAGTATGCAGCCCTGAGGGACAACCAGCAATCACAGGCCTAAAAATCTGCCTTTCAGTAGAGAAAGAAAGAAACAAATAAAAATCTAGAAGGCACGCTCAATTTTTTTCTCATTATTTGTGAATACCACCAGTAGAAGCCCTATGCAGTATGACATTTCAGTGAAACTTCAGTACTAAACATGTATCTTATTTGCTTCTCAACAAGGAAAATATTTGCTATGAAATTTTAGAGATGAAGGAAAAATCCAACAGCTGTGATTCATACACTGAAATCAGCTAAACTGAAAATCAGTAATAAGCTGAAAGCAATTTTTATTTTCCTCCAAAAAGTTACATTTGCTAATTAAAAGCTGAGGAGCATCTATGACATTTACAGCTTGTTTTATCATTTTTCCATACCTCTACAAGGCCCTGCAAGATCCTCACAAAGATGACACACCCATAGTGCACCCTGGCCGCAGACGGTATTAGCATGTTGAGGGAGGATGTCAGCAGTATAGCAGCACCAAATACTCTGCAAAATAAAAGGAAAGGAGTTAACTTCAGTCTTGTTCCCACTGATTTATTCCATATATGCTCACATATTAATGTATTGAAACATATGTTCTTTATGTAGGGAATATCCTAACTGCTGGACTGGATTAGTGTCTGCTTTCATCCAGTGTAACAACCTGCCTAATAGGACCCAGACCAAGCATGGACATAGACATCTATTTAGCATAATTTCCTAAGGAAATATATCTTAGACTGCCACAGGTATAGATCTTAATCTCCCTATATATCATCTCTCTTTTCTTTAGTTAATTTTCACATCCATTTCAACCAAATCTGAATTCATCATCCCCTGGAGAAGTTACAACTTATATCTCCAAATGGTTTGCTGAGAGAGGTGGCCAAGTAAAAGAGAGAATCTTGTTAGTGCTTTAATTGTAAGTGGCACCATGCATCCACTATTTATAAAGCAGAAAAGAATTCACTTTTATAAATGCCAAGGCAGCAGGAAGAATTTTAAATAGAGCTGGGATTTTCTCAGACACAAGAGTTAATCAGTCTGGAAATATCCACAGAAAACAGGTCATTCTTTCTGCTGGTTTTCAGAGGCTACACATTGAATATTGCTGATTTTGATTCCAACAGCATCCTAGGAATTGCTTCAAATAAAGCACATTGCAAGGCCTTAATAAATGTGTGAAGTAATGATTCATTTTCAAATTTCCACTTCTTTGACTGAATTTTAATTTGATTCAAGTGAGATCTGCCTCATTTAGAAGGAAGCCTTTTCTCCATCATTGTTATATAATTTTAAAATGTTCTTTGATTCCTTTATTGTGACAATAATCCTTCCCTTTTTGCCCCATTTTCTTTTCATTGGAACTATGCAAAGGGAGGAAGCTAGTAGCAATGACTGGCCACTTTCTTTATACAGAACTATGTAAAGTTAAGATAAATCCTGGAGATGTCTTAACATATGACATCACGGTATCTGATGTGGAACTGATTTGACAGAAACCTTTCACCTTAATATGTGTTCTTCAGAAATTGGTACAGTGCCACAAGTTAGTGAGAAACAGACCTTGGCCTAAAGAAGCAGGAAGCAGCGATAAGTTGCAGGACAAAAATTCTCCTCAAAGACATCTATGGTTCACATCCCCTATTTAGAATTACAGCCTGATATGAAACTGTAAACAACAAAACTACCATATTCCACTTATATGACAAATATTAAAGGGCAGCAGAAAAAAATGCTTCTTGGCATGGTAAAGAAGCTTTGTTAAATAGCCCTAAATCTGTCACCTCACTGAATTCCCTGTGATCCCCATCTCGTTTACACAACATCTAGCTGCTGCACAGCACATTTCTGGCTTTGTTTGGCAGCATGCTCGATACACGCACTGGGACTGACTGGTTCACTTTTGTGTTGCACTGTGTGAACTATTCTGGCCTCAGTTCTGTCTTTACTCTTAATTTCTGTGTGTGTAAGTCTCTACTCTGAAAATAAGTGTGGTTCATTTCCTTACAATTTAATACCCCCATATGCTCATACTGGTGCCTTGGTTTTCAGTCTCTTTTTTGTCTTTACTCATTAGTAAGAGTTACTTATAGGACTCACAGAAGTTTTGCTTGTGATTTTTACAACTGCTTTTAAAAAGCTAGATATTCCTGTTAGCAGTTTTTGAAGAGTGATAGACTATACCCTTCTTAGTCAGGAAAACCTTTATTTGCTTGTAGGCAGGAAGAAAAGACTGTTTGGCTTGTAGCCTCTCCTGTATCTTTTCTGAATAGCTATTTAGTTACACGCCTAACGTAGCAATATGGTTTAAAATCTGTGATTGTGCATAGACTTGCTGGAGCAGACTCTTACCTATTCTCAAGAATTCTCAAAAAACAGATTTTTTTTTTTTTTAAAAAAAATGGACTTAAGAGTAGAATAAATTAGAGCTAAATTATTACTTTTGTAAGAAATGGCTATTTTTTCTTTTTCTTGAATGCATATTAAAAGCAGCACCATGAATTTAGTACATGGCTGTTTTAGTGAGTTGACTTCCTCTGTAAGTCTTAGTCAGGAACAAATACATCTTCCTACATTCACTTTGCACCCCTCAATGCACATCCATAAATATAATCAGTAGTTCTCCTTCCTGCTCTTTTCTCTTGTTACATTTATTTCACCTCCATAAATACTAGCTTCTTCTTCCTGACAGAGTATTGCTATATACTTCTGGGTTTTTTGTATAAAATTACTGTTTTATTGTTCTAAATATCTCAGCTAACTACATCTTTTAAGATTTAGCTCGAAGAATGACTTTGAGATATGATAAATCTAAATATATTTGAGTGCTGATCACATTCAAATATATTTAATTGGGAAATGGAACATTCTGATTGTTCCTAAGGCATTTCTAAGAGGTTTTACTGGCCCACAAATCAAACCCCAAAATTGTGCTGTGTTTTATTTGTGCTTATATTTTTGTGATGTTTATTAAGCTAGTGATTTTATGACCGGTCATGTTTTATTTCTGCTTCTCAAACAATTCTAGTTTGCTCAATTTTGCTGCAGTGTTAACTCCAACAATTAATTGGAAACCATGTTTTTTCTTTAAGATCCCTAGTTGCAGTGGCAAATTGGCAGGATGTAGAGTTACAGAGCTGTATTTAATGCAGTTGAAGATGGATTATGTTCATCCTCAGACAGACAGGGTTCCCTGTTTAAAAAAAGACTTTCAGCCTGTTCAGGAGTGTTCATTCCTATCCCACACCCCACATATGCATATTTTATATTTATACATGTATCTGTTTGTCCTCTTGATATTCTAATATCACCCTAAGTGGATGTGTGGTCCTGATGGGATATCATAGAATCATAGAATCATA